ACGCTTAATGCACCCATTATAGCACATGCCGACAGCTATTTGTGACCAAATGTGTTGACCGTTTCACTGTGGCAAGAAGGACCAGCCAACGCAACAAACCACAGTTGGAGACTATGATCGTCGGTTTTAGAGATTTATAAATGCACAGGCGATTTGCAACACTGCGTAGGTGTTGCTGCATGCCATATCAGTGGCAAGAGCCATTAGGTTGACTCTGATTGGGTTTATTTGAGACTAAAAAGTCGAAAGGCGAAAACGTTGATGATCACTTGAGCGCGCGCTGCATAATCACTGCATATAAGTACATACATATGTAAGCTTTTCTATTGTATATATGCAGGTGTGCAACATTTAAACTTCCCGCAGTTAACAGCTTGACGTTAGTATTGCAACAAACAATCGAATGCGGCACAATTTGAAAACAGTTGGCAGACAGCCGGCCAAATAAATTAATAACAAATAATAAAACTGTCACATGGCCATTGGCCCGCGGATATTTGGAGGCCAAGTGTACGAAAAAATATCTAAGTCAGCATTAACAAAGTAAAAGGCCGGGTCGGTACGCTTAAACCGTTGCCTATCTGCATGCACATATCTATATTTGTTTGTATGTAAAAGCGGCAGCCTCTGGCCGCTAACGGAAAACAGCCAATTAGAGCTTTCACCCAAAAAATGAATGGCTTTTCGCATTTCGCATATTTTGTTCAAACTCATTCATACATGCAATTATTAATATAATATATTCAGTGATTTATTAACATCGACATTTTTTTAGTTTTTTAGCCATGTTGACTTGCCTCCCGCAGTTAGCGCAAATACTTCATTAATTTCCCACATTTCAAATATGTTGTTGACAGTAAAATAAAGCACTGCAATCGTTTTGCAAACCTGCTGGCGCATTTCTCCTGCACTCTTGCATCTGGTCAGTGCGTATGTGGGTGTAAGTGAGAGCCCGCGTCGCGTGGGCAAGTGGCAGGCGACATTCGCGATTGAAAGCGATGTTGTTGCTACACAATGCAATAAATTTTTAAAAATTTAAAACTTTAATACAAAAAAATTTATTATTTTTAAAAAGTGTCATTTTTACGCGTGACCATGAAGAAAATTAAAGGAGTTATTTAAAGGAATGCGGTAGTTGATTGGTTATTATTGGCATGATGAGATATTTTAAAAGACTACGCACGAGCGCTTTGTTAACATTTTTCAAAAGTCACCTCTCACCGAATGATGAGACAGGGTATATTAAGAACAGCAGAAAGCTTGTACAAACTGAGAGATTTGCGAAATTGATCTGAATCACTATAGCTTATGCGAAGCTCAACAAATGGTCGCAAAGCCAGGATTGACGCCTCGAAAGGTTATGCTGAGTGTTTGGTGGGATTGGCACTATGAGCTGTTGCAGCCTGGTCGAACGATTCTGCATTTTACTGTCAACAACTAATGAGATTGAAGCAAGCAATCGAAAAAAGCCGACCAGAACTGATCAACAGAAAAGGCTTCGTCTTCCATCAGGACAACGCTAGACTACACACATCTTTGATGACTCGCCAAAAATTGGGAGAGCTTGGCTGAGAAGTTTTGTTGCATACACCATATAGCCCTGATCTTACACCATCGGACTACCATTTGTTTCGGTCAATGTAGAATTTCCGTAATGGAGTAAAGTTAGCTTCAAGAGAAGCCTGTCAAAATTACTTGTCGCAGTTTTTCGCCGAGAAACCAGAAAAGTTTTACACTGATGTAATAATGTCTCTAGCGGAAAAATGGCAAAAAGTGGTCAACCAAAATGGTACATATTTGGTTAATAAAAGTTTATTATAAATATAAAAAAAGAAAAGACTTTGACAAACCAATATATTACATACAAAAATAACCACTCCCTTATAATATTTTGCTCAAATCAGCTGTTAACTCTTTCTCTATGTCTACAGCACGCAGCTGCAAAAATTTCAAAGTCATGCTAATGTTCCAATTATTTTTTGGAACAAAATTTCCTGTTATAATGACGGTTACAAAGTCGCTGCATTATATATTTTCGCAACATTTCTAATTAGCTAACCGATGCACAATATTTATCGAATTTTCATCTCTGTGTTTGTATGTGTATCTGTGCTCCACTATCTCCACTTGCGCCTATCTGTGAAATTACAGAGGCGCACCCATTTATCTAAGCAATTTGAACACATTTGCATTAGGAAAATTGCATTTTAGCCAACTTGTTGCGCGTAATTGACCATGTAAGTACGTGTGTTGGACGCCTTTGCTTCTTCTGCGTGATTTTCATGTCCACCACAACAAACAACAAACTGGTCAGCGCCACCGCAAAGTGAGTGCGTTGCATGCCACACAACCACTGGTGTACAAACATAAATAATGCGCCGAGATAGCTATCTCAATGCAACGATTGCTGATATGGTAAACTCGAAGCTTTCGGCTGTGATACAAATATATACCATTACATACCTATATGTACACAATCCTGATTGTTGCGGCGCATATTTGGTATTTTCTAATTTAGTTGCCATGAAATTAAAATTGATGATCAGTTAAGCTGAATAAACTTGTAGAAATTTGCTGCAGATCCTTATCGTTTATAATCGAATTTTTATCGTGGTATTAAAGTTAGATATATATATGTAATTATATATATATATATATGTAATTTATGTAGATATGTAATTTTTATTACTCAATTAGTGGAAAATGTCAACTTTTATAGTTGTATTTTGTTTGGATTGGACTTTTCATTCAAATTTTACGCCATCGCCTCCGTCAGGAGTGTTGATTTCTAACTCTAATCCTGCTCTATATTTATTAGAAAAATAATTGTCATTTCCCCATTTGTAGCAGTTTTAAATTAAATTAATTTTTCCACGAGTTGGAAACGAAAAATATACCTTTGAATGATCTAAACAGAAATTACCTCCTATAATATACAGGATTGCGTTTTCTCACGATTATATTAGTCTAGCTAAATGCACTGAGTTACCTTCTTCTTCTTTTTCTTATTGGCGTAAGCACTGCTTTATAGTGTGCGGTTATAGTGTGTTTCTTTTTGCTATGTCACGCCAATTGGAAATTCCAAGCGTAGACAGAGCCTTCTATTTCCAACGGAGGGGAGGTCTTCCCCGTCGTCTACTTCCACCGACGGGTACTGCGTCGAATACTCTCCATTTAGTCCAAAGTAGCACCTGTTGGCAAGAAAAATTTTACGTTGGATTTCGAGGCTGTCGTTGTTGTTTATGCTCTATGATTTTAACAGTGACGTGAGTGCGATGACTGTTTGTATATTGACAAGAGATTCGTCTTGCCCCCGTTCACCACTACACCCATTTCCTTTGCTGCCTTATCCAATCTGGAGAAAGCAAAACTAACGGCGCGAATGTTGAGACCAATGATATAAATATCATCGGCGTACGTCAGCAGCTGTACACTCTTATTGATAATGGTACCTTCTCTGTTTAGTTATGCAGCTCGAATTATTTTTCAGCTGTCGAAAGCAGCTTTGAAATCGACGAAGAGGTGGTGTGTGCCAATTCTCCTTTCACGGATGTTTTCCAAGATTTGTCGCATGGTGAATATCTGGTCGGTTGTTAATTTGTCAGGTTTAAGGCAACACTGATAAGGTCCAATCAGTTTGTTGACGGCTTTAATCTTTCACATAATAAGCTCGATAGGCCTGTGAAGGGCTAATTATTTTTTTTAGAATTTTTATCAGAATTAGATGGAGTTTTAACATTACCTGCTGAGGAATAACCGTAGTTAGCCGAACCGATTACATCAATATTTGATGACCCGGTGCAGCATTACAGCTATAGTGCGACGAATGTTGTCTACGAGCTCCTCGAGCGTTAGTGCTTAATTAGCGTAAACCTTTGATTTAACATACGCCCAGATAAAATACTCTAAAGACGTTTATTCGCATGATGTAGGCGGCTATTTGACTGGGCCATTTCTTCGGTCGCCAGCTTTGCACGCAATGTGTCCATGTTTAGACGTGAAACATGAGGCGACGTACCGTCTTGTTGGAAATCTCAATAGCGACAATTTTGTTTGTTGACGAAACCATTAAGCCAGAAATAAGCTTCATCTGAAAAGAGATTTTATTGTACTTATAAAGTACTTTTCTTAAGTAGGTTTGCTTTATCATATATCCTATCGATCTTCAATAAAGCTCTCATAAAGCTTTAATTGCAAAAAAATCAGACCCCTTGAGAACAATACTCGTAATTTTTTTTTTGTATAAAAATATGTGTGTGACGTAATCAACTTCAACATAAAACATACAAAGTATATGAATCTTTATTTTGGTTACGGTCTGTGGTAGAGATACGAGTTCTCTAGAAGAGTAACATTTTAGGTAAATAAGAAGGCAAATAAAAGTTAATTAAAAACTAGCTTGAGACGCGACCAAGATTACTGTATGCGAATATGATAAGAAGGCGTTAAGCACATCAATTATAAAGATAATTTTGTTTAGTGGAAAGAAGTTTATTAATGAAGACATATATTAAATACTTTATGTTTATTGTTGTACTTGGAAGCACCTTTAAATGTATTTTTGAATTTTAATCATAGTAAATACACCTAAGATAGATAACCATATACAGCTACTAAGTTAAATGCAAATGCTGACGTCAGAAGAGAGCGACTGTGAGATACGTGTGAGAGAATTTTATTTTGTAATCTATTGATAAGTTATCAAAGTGGTAAGGAGCAGGTGTGGAAAGAATTGGCGAGTGTGAAAACATACTAGGAATTTAGGTAGACTCAGTTTAGGTTGGGTTATAGATGTAATAACAACGTAGTTGGCAATGTGTTTTGGAGTAATTTAGAAAATATAGCGCTAGTAAGAAAACAACTGCTTGTAACTTGATTTTGAAGAAACAAATATTAATAATTCATAAATTTGTGTTTTTTTTATTGAAATAGTTTATATTTTTTAACTGAAAGTAACACTTTTTAATAATTATGTAATCATTCTTTCTTTCACTTCACAGTTCGCCACATAATCAGCTGATTCGCACATCAACTCCTCTCCACTTTCTGTTATCTACGCCCCGCAACTTGATTTGGGCGCTTTGGCATCAGTAGCTGCCGCACCTAGTCACTAGAAACACACCACAATGCAGTTGTTACGTACACACTCACGAGCTTTAAAGCTGCCTATAGTCTACGCCGCTTTGCTGCTACTCTGCTGCCTACTCGTTGAGAGCTCCCCCGCGCCGAGCAAAGAAGCAATCCTTACGGTAAATGCTACAACAGCTGACAGCAGCAACTACAACTGTCCAGCTGATTGTCAATGCGTCCTGGCGCAAAACACACACACCCCACTGCTGCACGCGAAATGCACCAGTTTGGAGGGTCTGCGTTTATACGAAGCCAAGGAATCCTCACTGCCCATACACTCGCTGGACTTGTCCTACTTGAATTTGAAGCGCTTGTCGCATCCGTTGGAGAAGCTACCCAGCGTCACATCGTTAGATCTATCGCACAATGACCTCCACGAATTCGGACATTTGGGACGTCGCATTAAGAAGCTGAACCTCAAACACAATCGCATAACATCGAGCAAATTGACCAAACTGCCAGCACATGTGCAAGTTTTGAATCTACAGCATAATGATATCACGTATTTGCCGTTGGATTTGACACGTCTGTCCAATTTAATGACACTCGAATTGAGTCACAATCAAATTAATTGCTCCTGCGAAACATTAGAGGTGCGCAACTGGCTGCAAGGGCGTCACGTCTTCATGGAACATGCCGTTTCCTGTACATACCCCGTTGAAGTTAAAGGTAAGTCGTGGTTGCAGGTCAAACAGTCGGACATTTGTGAGCACGAGAAGAATGGACGCCTCAACGATGAGGAGGATAATGAGCTGATGATGGGCGATCAGCCAGTTGAGGGTTCCGGTGATCAAGACGATGAGGATGAGTTGGGTAAAGCATTCATGCCAATCGAAAAATCAAGCACTGCAAAAAATAGTGTGGCACAACTCGATACTGTCGAGGGTTCGGGTGATTTGAGTGATGTCAATGTGCCTGTGAACTTAGCCATAACTACCGTTTTGCCAGCGGTGGAGAGTTCGCAAGAACATGTTACAACCGATGCGCCACCGCTACCCATCGAACAGGAGGAAGATGAGGATGATGGTTCCGGCAGCGGTGGTGGCATGCTTTTCATCAGTCCCAGTATTGAACGTGATCGTATGATTCCAGATGATTTTGAAACACCCAATGAAGATGACACCGATGACAAATTCGACAATAAACCGGTGGAGGAACCCAAACCTGAGGAGGAAGAGGAGGGTGAACACAAGGTGTCAGCTGATATTTTCGGCGCCGGTATGGGCATATTCGATACCGACGAGAATGATGAGAAAATTTCAGAGCCGGTTACAGAGGAAGCCATTGTACCGGTTGTACAGCACAACGTTGAGGCAGAAGATGTGCCCGATGTAAGTACCGAAGGTGCAACAAATGGTGAACCCAGCGCCATACTAACCGCAAATGCGGGTGGCGAACAGAAGGACGACAGCAACGCGACATATTTACTGTTGGGCGTGCTTGGCTTCATTGTTGTCGGCTTGATACTCTATGTAGGTATCAAGCGTTGCAAGAACAGTCATAATGCCGCACACGATGCGGAAAATCCACGCCAAACCGAATTACTCGACATGGACAAAAAGAATTTGGGCAAGCCGTTGCGTAACGGCAACGAACACTCGCCACTCATTGGCGATCAAACCAAATCTGATCTCGCGAAACCGATCAATGGCACCGGACAAAAGAAACCCTACGACGCGAACGATGTGAAAGACGGTCCCGCTCAACAACAACCACTGCTGAACGGCAGCAATGGCACAGCGCCAAACGATGAAGTGAGCAAAGAGCAGGCCGCACCTGTGACCGAAGCGTCCGCACCGCATGAATACCATCCGATCACGCCGCGCTACCCCACACCGAAGTCGCCACGTGCCTCCAAATATGCACAATACCCACAAGAGGGTGTCGAGCACAATAACAACAACAATGATGATAGTTATCTGCCTTCGTCGCCGAAATTAGGCCGTTACTCGCCGGTGTATTCACCAGAAACGGGACGCGTCAAAATCAAGCTTACCGAAACACCCCGCCCCAAAACTCCAATGTTAGTTACGCGCAGCAAATCGAACGCGGGCGATATCATAACGACGCCTGTAGCGGCAACGAACGGCATTGATAACAACAACACTCTGACTGTGCCCGGCGTGCATGCGCCAACAGCGACGCTGGTAAATGGCCACTAAGCGGTGTGGTGTGGCGCGATGCGTTGCGTTGAAAAGTGTGCGACGTGCCGTACACGAGACGCTGCCGCTCGCGTCAAAACGGTGCTAAACGAACTAAACGCTACTAAATTAAAAGTTTAAACAAATACCAACAACAAAAACAAAAAACTAACATCTTGCAGCGCAAATTGTATAACAAAAGACTTCGAAATTAATTGGTATGCAATTCCGGTAGGAAGAAATGGTTTGGTGGTTTTCAGTTGTCTAGTTTGAAAAGTGTTGGCGTAACGGCTTACTGGTGTTGTGAGCGCTTAGAGTTTGAGTTTAAGTAGCTGGTTGCAGCAAAAGTTTCGACATTTTTCGGTACGCGTTCGGTATTTGAACTTTGATGGCGTTCTTGTAATAGCTTAGTATATGTACATATATACCAATAGTTTTCAATATATTACACAAACCAATATTGCACTTAAAATTTTTCTTTTGTATTTTTAATTTTTTTGCTCTAATATTTTATTTAAATATTTTGGGTTTTATTTTTGTAATTTTTTTTTAATTTCATTTTTTGTACTTTTTTATTTAATTTAATTTAATTTTTTTTTATTCTTTTCTTTTAATTTGTCTTATATTAATTTTGTTTTGTTTCATTTTTATTTTATTTATTTTTATTATATTTTTTTTTTTAGTTTTTCCTTTTAATTTTTTGTTTTATTTTTCGTGAATTTTAATTTATTTGGTTTAATTTTTTTCACTTTACGCCACTGTAAAAATTTAATACTCTTGCGGGGAAACAGAGAACAATTGTGCCAAAGAATTGTGCCTTAAAAAAGTTGTTTGCAAATTAAGTACTAACTGTATATATACCAGTCAAACAACAGCAACAACACAATATTATTGAATAAGGTGAAGACATTGCTTATAAGTATGAAATAACTGACTAAAATTGCTCTGCAAAACAAACTTTTAAAAGGATTTCTGAGCGAAAATATAATATATAAATAAAGCGGCACTTAAAATGCAAAATAATGTAATCACTCATATTGGCACATAATTTGGCTTTTGGTTATAAATTGGTTATATGTGTATTGGTTATATCTATAAGTCAAATCCGTTGCGCAATCTCCAGATATTTAAAATTCAAGCAAATTTGCTTATGAAAAGAATGTTTCTATCTATAAATTATTTTTATAAAAATAATATTGTTTTACTATGTCTTTCTACATACATATACTAAGCTACGAACGCATTTAGAACGTCACGGGCGTCGATCCAGCTTCGCATTCTTCAGAGTATGCATACAAGCATGATCAGTATCAAAAATCAGAAATGTGCCGCATTTAGCTTTGATAACAAAATTGCCTACATAAACTTATGAAAAACTGCGAAAAATATCAGTGTGTCCAAGCGCCCTATAACCGTTAGTTAGAAAGAAACACTTTGTATTTGAAAACCCCGCCAAACCTAACCTTCTTCCGCCAAGCTGCACGTAAAAAATAAAAATGGAAAAAGATCAGCCAACTGTTGAAGACAAAACTAACGAAATTACAGTTAGAAAAAGCAACATTATAATGTGATAGGTTAATTATATATACAGACATACATAAATTATTTAAATAAAAAAAAAAAAATTAAGAAACTATTTGTTTGTAATTGCCAAACGCAGTTTTGTAAAAAAAAAAAGTTTTTAAAGAAATATTTGATACTTACAGATAATTATAATTGTTGCGCGAAAGCAAGCAGAAAACTAAAATGAAGTTTTGTATTTAAAAGTAAAAAATTTATAAAAAAAAAATTTACTAAATTGCGAATTATGCATATATTAAAGTCCAGATAAATATACGTATACATGAAACTATATATAGAAATTAAAAAAAATGTATATACATATATATTTAGAACAAAAATATATATTTAATACACAGTTGTGTACGTACATTTGTAGCTGCGAAAATATTATATATTTTTCGAAATTGTTTTTGTAACGACGTGTACATTCTAAATACAATGACGACGAGCTGTGCGTGATGAAATATGAAAAACAAAAAAAAAACATTGTAATTTTATAAAATAAAATTAGTTTTAAGCGACATGTTTTAGCTAACGCACATATCAAGCGCTTTGAGTCAACGTAGAAGAAAATAATTAATTAAGAGTAATTATAAATTAATTAATTAAGAAAAAACGTTGAGAAAAGTAATTACTTATGAAGTGATTATCCTATCAAAAAAAAGTTATTAATCAAAATGAAGTATTAATTAATTAAGAGTAATTCATAATTTTAAGTATTAATTACTCTTAATTAATTAATCTTAATTTTAATTAATTACTTTT